AGATCGGATAGTATAAGACCTGACAGTATAAGATCCGATTAAATTTTAATACTATCTATCTAACGTTTGACATAATATTGTATAAGATAATGTATTGTATAAAATAATATCATTATGTGTTTGGTAATGCACTTTATAATACTAGATAGAATAAAAATAAATATTTTTGACAAAAATACCCTTTAATCAAAAATTTATATAATTCTTCCAAATATGTCATATGATATTTTTATAAGAATCTATTAGTGTATCTAAAAGATATATTAATTTTTATAAAAATAAAAATTTCTAATATTTTAAAAATTAATATATTGAAATAATATATTAATTCTTGATAATTACACTCATTAGCGATGTTAATACATCAACCCCTTATCAGGCCTAATCTCACACCTCTTTAGCTTTTTAGGCCGGATTAGGTTATACATGTAGTAAGGGATTTTACTGTATAAACTCATACTATACATAGTCACCCAAATAACTAAAAATACCATAATGTATAGTTAAATTTATACGATTAGACCTTATACATCACACCAAAAAAGCTCTTATATCACCCTAAGGAATACTAGTCACGCACAAAGATTGCGCCATACTCACATCCATTTTCAATGTAAAAAGGGTCAGCGCCTACATGATCACCATTCACCACCACATTTGTTAACCAATAGCGAGACGACATAGAGCTAGTTCCAACACAACTTATGACCAATAACAATAATAGGAATCCTAAAGACAACCCTAGCATCCCAAAAACCTCTTAACAAGAAGATCAGAGGCCATAAATGTTAAGGTGTTGACACCTACTCACTCAAAGCAAGTAACTCATGCTCTGAAGTAGGCATCTCTGATACTGTAAATATAAGGGTTCAATAATCAAGTGCACATCGTATTCCATATACAAAAACCTACTTGCTCGAATATTAATTTGAGCGTCAAAGTGTCTTGCAGATATGAGTGACAATTTTTAAATGACCACTAACACAACACAAGAAATTCTTGTTTCGGTCAACTCATTTTTAAATTTGTATCGTGTTCGTGTTGACGAAACTTAACACATTTAAAAATTTGTGTTGTGTTGTGTTGCATGTCAACATTCAGACACGACACTCAGTGGCGGACTCAGAAAATGTTATTTATATCTGCACACTTAATGTGGAGTTAAGAGGCAATGCCTCCAGAAAAATATTTTATTTTTATTTTTTAAATGCATAAAAAAATAATATAAACAAGAAATCGACTCTTCATCTTGTCTTTCGCCTTCGTGGCGGCTTTTAAACTTTGTTCCTTTGTTTTGTTGGTAATAAGTTATCTGTAGTTAATATTGTTGCAATGGTCATTAGCTAATATTTTTTATCCATCTTTTGCATTTGATACTTTTTTATTTGTTGCGAAAATACATTTAAAAAATAATGTTATTTTGTTGGGGAAATGAAACTTTTCTAACTTATTGTTTATGGGTGTGTCTTTTTAAGTACTGATGATATTAATATTAATTATTTTTTGAGAGGTAAGCTAAGCCATGTAAAGTACTTGAGTAATGTGTGTTATGATCTACGTCATTTGTTCCATTTGATAAAACTATTCTCTGTCATTTTATACACTTGCAGGGCATGAGGGCTCTCAACATAGTTTTTTGTTGTAAACAACCAATCTACACTTGCTCATATTAATATTAATCATAAGAGTTTATGACTGCACTTGCACACACTTGCACAAAGCTAGGTCCGCCGATGACGACACTAACCCACATTAGTCTTCTTTGGTCATTCATATTGTGTCGTGTCAATATGACATTGTGAAAGTAACATTTAGTATACATATTGTTTGTATTATGTAGTTTCATGTCAACCTGCATAATAAGCAGGATACTTTGAGGTTGACGATTTATTTGTGTCATATCATATCAATCGGCAAAATAAACGTGTCATATTCGTGTTAAAATCTTTGAACCAATCTTTATTTGTATTCTTGTCAAACCTTGACCCAACACAAACATAACCTCTTGTCTCGTACGAATTGTCACCGCTACTTGCAAGTATCCTCCCCTTCCAGTTTTCTAGAAACTATGAAGAAACACATTGTACAACTAGGGTTGTAAATAAGCTGAGTTGGGCTCGACTTTGCATTAAATAGGTCAGACCTGTATAAAATGCTTTAGGTCTGACCTAATCTATATTAAAAAATTAAAGTATTGACCTAGGTCTGTTAGCCTGTTTAATCCTATTAGGTATTTAACAATTAAAAAAATAATTAAAATAATATTACTTAATTATTCAAAATTATAATTTATTTATTTTATTTAAAATAAATAATATGATATAAGCTGACATATAGACTTATAACCCCGGTATGTAAAAGAAAGCATATGGCCTGGTTTCTAAATAATTTTTTTTGAAGTCTGAACCCATTCTATTTGACTATATATAATAGGTCGAGTCTGCCCTGATATAGGTCGAGTCATAGGCCCCTGTTAAGCTGACTGACCCATTTACACCTACAACATTGAAGGCAACATCTTCGACCACCTTGGATCAATTCAAAACTCGTGCTGGGCACAAAATTAATTATGTGTGACTAGCCTAGATTTACTAGTCGGATCAGATGGTAAAGTAAAAGATTACTTTTAAGTATAAATATAGATATATTTTGAAAAGTTTTATGATTCTCATCTATGTTACACCGACATTGACATAGGACACAACAAAAAACGACACTCCGACACGTTAATTCTAAAAAATGTTAGATTTCGACACGTTAGGACACGTTCTGATATTAAATAATATTTTTAATTTATGTAGTGTATATTATTTTTAATATTCAATAATTTAGCAAAAAAATATGAAACTAAAGTTATAATACACATCAATTTTGCAAAGAAGAATAAGATGTAAATATTTGCTATTATATTTTTAAATTGAAAATCTCTTATATACTCCAGTGAGATTTATTCGATATCTATTTTAAATTTTTTTTCATCAGTTTGTTAAAACACCGATCAATTTTTTTATGATATGTAATGAAATTTCAAATATTATAGATGTCAGAGCGTGTCACAGTGTCGGGAGTATCAGGGTGTTACACGTCAGATTTTTTGAAGTGTCGGTGCAATATAAATTCTCACATTTAAAATCAATTGTATGAGTATTTTTCTTATAGAATTGATTTTATTTTTTTGGACATTAAATGGGAATCGAACTCCAAACCTAATACTTACTAAACACACCCAATATCACTAGGCTAACCCTAGTGGTGCAATTGATTTTAAGATGTTACTTTTCTAACCAAACAACATTATTCTAGCCAAACAACATTAATTACTGTGCAATCTGAGTTTGGAGACCACAAACATGATTTTCCTTCAAAACAAACAAGGCATTAGTTGGTTGCTTCCGTCAATAAGACAAACAACGCAAAAATAAAGAGATACTCCTTGAAAGTGCCACCCCACTTACCATGCAATTTTATTTTATTTTATCTATCGCCACAACCGTCCTAGTTACCATAACCACTATTATCACTCAAATTTATTGTTATTATCCGGTCTTTTTTTATTTTATATAATGGTGGTATTGGACATATAAACTACTCAAACTCTTCACTATTGTATCAATCCTAGTGACTTGTTATCATCCAGTCTTGCTCAAATTGATTTTTACCCATTTTTTAGTTAATTGGATTACGTATTTTATCCAAACATTAACGTAAGGATCTAAGCGAGCTTATTGGTTGCAAAATCAGTATTGTATCAACTCTATCAAACATGCCACTAGCATTAGGGATAAAAAAAAAATCAAATAAACTGAATTGAACAGTGAGTCGATTCGAATCACACTAAAAAAATTATATTATTTTCGATCCAGTTTAATATGTTTTTAAAATCTACTCGGTAAAATTAAAGTGTATAATACACAAGTCCAACAAACTCGATAATATTTATTTGATCAGCAATTATATACATTCACTGTTCAGAATTATGTATAAAGTTTATATAATAATGACAAATATCATATTCAAGAGCCATATTAGACATGTTTAATATAACTCGTGACGTGATCTTAATATTTGTTTAAAACGAATTTGCTCATCTTGATCTTCCAGGATGTCCTGTATCCCAAACCACCTCATATTATTTTATGGGGTTTGTTTTTCTCAGAGAAAACAAACTCTTTCGATAGACATTATAAAAAGGTGTCCATACTTTTTTTGTTTTTTATTTTTTTTTTAAATAGATGAGTCTCATATTTATTGTATCTATGTCATGAGATTAGAAATTTTTTACAACATGAGATTTCTTTTTTCCTTATTTTATTTGCCATTTTCTGGTAATCTTTCAATGTCATCTAAGGAAACACGCGGTTTGTTACACTTCAATCCAACTCAAAAGACATCGATAGCTTCAGAAAGAAGCAGTAAAATTAAATAAAAGAGTACACCTATTTTCCACAATTAAATATGAAATTCCACAGTTTTAAACTGGATGTAAGTTCCATATCCCTGAAAAGAAGAGTGTGATTATTTTATATTTTTTACGTTATGGTGCGTCATAGAAATATTGTATTACCAAAGCATTTACAGCATTTATTGCAAATAATAATAAAAATACTTGCATTTAGGAATTTACAATAAAAAACAAACCCCACGAAATATCTAATTTTTAACTTATTTAATATATTTTAACTTATTCTCCAAATATCATAAATGCCTTATTATCACAATAAGTACTAAACAGCCGCAAAATACACAACTGTACCACAAAGCTGAATTAGAATTTTATGAGGCTCTATAGTTATGATCGTCCAATAACACCAGAATTTACAGGAAAAAAATTGAATCTTTATTACAAAGAATGTTAAATCACTTTTTTGATCAAGCAATTCACGATTTTACATCTCACACTAAACCAGTTTATTGCCTCTAGTCTTGCACACTGAAAATAAACACCTGGATGCAGGTGGCACATTTTAATTTGTGTGCAAATAGGCGGCATCTCATAGACATACACACGACATAACCAATTAGCGATGACTTCAAAATAAGGGTGATAGAAAGCACATGTTTGTTTTCAAAACAAAACAAAACAAAACAAAAAAAACATGTTTGGAGCCAAGAATATTGACATCATCACGAATGACAATTAATGACTTCATTTACCCCCTAAACTGTGAACATGAGCAACAACACAATAAATTCTGATGTCTCACTCAGCAGAATGTTACACAACAAAATAAAGATGATGTTGCCATGTCATGGGAAAAAAGTGATGGACATCCAGTGCAAGTGATACACAAACTTGGCGAAAGAAAAAGATTTTTCTGACAAACTTCTAGCCTCAACGTCATTAACCACTAAAACAATACTTGAAATTCAACTTGCTGTGGTTTTGTAGCAATAGTGATCACATGATAGTGCAACGGCTCCTTTCTTCAGTTGGCTGTGAGTTTACTTGCTGGAACCTGTTTGACTCGGATGGGTTGTATGTAAATTCCGAAGTATCCAGCCCATACTGCATAAGGAGCACCATTAGCGTCAAACAGCCACATACAATGCCATAATCATTTTATAAAACAAAACCAATAATGCGATGCTTTCGATCATCTCTTTTGATACAATCAAAGATGGTCCGAAACAAGCCAATGGGTTAGTGGTGAGGGACTTAGATAGTTTGCATGTGGTTATAGATTCAAAGCCCAGTGTCATTATTGTATAAAAAAATTGTATAACAAAAGTTTTGTCCAAAACAGAACTAAGTAAACCTAGACTACAGATGTCAAAATGGCAGAGTAATTGCAAAATGCCTATGCAAAAAGGATATGTTGCTGCAGTGGCAGAACCAGCCTCCCAAGCCAGCTAATTTAACTGGTGCCAAACACTAAAATATGGAAGGTTATTTAGCACGTTGAAAACGTGGCTAATTGTCGAATTTTTAGCTAGGGCCAGAGCTCCCCCTACGCCTAATGTGGCTCTGCCACTGTGCTACTGCCTGCTATGCGTGACACCAGAGAAACATAAGAGTAAGACAATCAGGTTTAGCCATTCACGAAGACATTAAAATTCAACAGAATGATCTTAAATACTTCATGATGTCTTCACATGAAATCGCTGTCCTTGAAATAATGCTATTACAGTACGTGCAGGAAAATGCAAAATCTCATTATGATCAACAAACTTGTCAAAATGCTCTAAAATTCATAGATGGAAGAAGATTGTAGACCATCAAACTAATGAAAACAATTTGCTTTAAATTCGAAAGTGCAATAAACAATTGGAAATTTAATTACATCAACGTCAACATCACTTTCATCCCAATCTAGTTGCGGTGATGGGTTGATGGTCGATGAATCCAAATTCCAAATAACAAACAAGAAAAGAATGAAAGAATTTGGAAGTTTAAATGCGAAGGAAAAAAGAAAATTAGGAAATAGGATATCATTTAAGGATTTAATTTTGATCTACATGGTGCCAAGAAGCTGATAAAAACAAGTAGTAAGCTAAAAATGGATAAAGCTTAAACTTTTTAAAGCTCGGTGTTTTAAGAAAAATATCTTTTTTTAGTATATTATATTACTTCTAAATATAATTTAATTTTAGTTTAACATGAAAACATTAAATGCCAAATACTTACATGCATGCAAACTTTATCCAATTTTTTTTTTTTATTTGGTTTAACTTGATCTAGAAGTAAAAAGTTGAAGATTACTAAACATGAAAGCAAATTAATAGAGTAGTCAAAATATTGCTAGTGAGTGCCCATTGCCCAAGTTGAAAAACGCTATCGAGGAGGTGAGCCTGCTAACAGCTGGGGTATCTTTGGGGGAAGGAGGGCATACATAATTATACTTGTTATGGAAGAAGACAAGTGAACAATGAACCCCCTTGGTCCCAAGAGGCCTCCGCCACTGGTTACAAGAGCACAGTAAAACAAACAAATGAAAAATTCCCCATCACAAGAATAATAGATAATGTGAACTGCAGAGATAGAAGATTTCACCTTCTCCCTCATCCGTGCACTCCATGCATCAGTTCTGCCTGGACGCTGATCAATTGTGCCAGCAACTGGTACACCAGTTGCAGGACCTGCTGGTCTGTTGAGCAAAGGCTGACGGACTTGCTGCCTTGGAACGAACTCTTCATCACTATCATAATCTGCTGGCCTATTTGCAGCCCTAACAATAAGGGCTAACACGAAAAGAAGAGCCTGCAATTCCATAAACATAACCATTGGCACATCACATTCACAATGTTGGTCTCTCCTCACTCCTGGTAGTAGTATATTGGGTACAGTGGGAGGAGACTTTTCCAATACAGTACTCAAGTACAATTTAAAACGAGAAGTTATACCACATTAGACCAACAGATATGGTAAGGCATCTCACCGGCACTGTAATTCCAAAATTTAAGATTACTGAATTAGTCAAATTTGCTTATTCTAACCTTATCTATATTCCATTTCCTCTCCCTCTTTTCTTCTTGTTTTTTCTTTCTCCTAGCATAGTTTAATATTACAACTGCTTTTTCTGGTTTAAAAACCAAGTCCCTAAAGAATTATATCCCTAGAAGTCCATTGTTAATCAATAAATAAATATTCTAAAAATTTGGCCAAAAAATTCATATTTTCATATTTGGCCAAATAAACCAGTGTATTTTACTGATTGAGAATTGAAACATATCCAAAATAAGGTATTACTTCCTAACATCCGTTCTAAAAATGATTGTTTGGCTGTAGTGCTTGCACCTATTCTCTGCGAGTGCATGCACAAGGACACATGCATGTTCACAAAACAATATTGCTTTATTTTAAATGCCAATCATAACAGTTCTAGCTTACCTCAAAGATCACAATTCCAAGAGCGACCCATTTCACAATATTCCAGTTCCCTCTCAGAAATTGATATATCATATCAAAATCTCCAGTTTTGTCCGTTGGAATTTCCTGAAAGAAATATAACTATAAGATGACAAATATAATTTCTTGAATCTCATGTCATAAATTGCCAGCGACAACTTACTTCTTTCCAGCTTTTATCAAAAAATATAAAGGCTGCACATCCCAGCTCAACCAAGATCAACAATACCACCAAAACTGAATACTTTGTTGGCTTAAGGAAACTAATAACAATTCCTTTTAGATGAATACAAGCACACAATACACACACACGCAGAGAGAGAAAGAGGGTGGAAGAGATGCTTCAACTCAAGCTTTTGTATACAAGTGGAAAATTTATGATCCCATTAAATATGTTTGGCTATAGCATAAGGCATTCTAGAAGGATACAAAGCTCAAGCAGCACCCATTCCTTGTCACAGCTCCAATACAACCAAAACAAGAAATGACAAAGAGAATTACCCCAATGCCAATGAATAAGTAAATAAACCTGCCAAACATGAAATACACAATCAGTTTAAGACAGTATGAAGAAAATATAGATTGAGCTTTGTCAAATTATCATAAAAGTAACAATGTATATGTGACAATAATTTCATCAGGGTGAATACAGACAGAGACTATCAAGGACAAAATATTGCAGGTGGTCTTTTCTCGGTAATTGTTTTTGTCAAACAAATACATAGATGTCACCAGTCAGTATAAAAATCACTACATGTGGAAGAAACAAGGGTTATTTCAAATTCACAATTTCACATCTGGTGTAATAATGCAGAAAGTGAATAGAGCAAGTTCATTTGAAGTTTTTCTTCTTCAACACTGGAAAGTGGCAACAATAAGTAATGCACCAATTACACCAAATAACGATGCATACTTAGCCCTTCTAAAGCTCGAAATCTTACAGAACCACAATCAATTGGAGAGCCATTATAAAAGCTCCACATCTCACTGAACTTGACCAAATAGAAACCTTAAGACATAAGCCATGTCACTGAATCTAATTGAAGAAGTTTGGTTCCTTTGACCTAAGTAACTGATCAATTAAGAATAACCCTTTGTTTTTCTGAAGCAAGTTGGAATGAGGACTTTTATGTTAGAGGTACAATGCTAAAGAAAATTAAAACCCCCCACCCCCCAAAACAACAACAAAATTTCAGTATAAATTACTTCAGTAGTTAAAACTTTGCAGCAGCAAAATATAACCAAAGTCCAAAACAAAAGCATTCTTATTTCCTGTATACCCTACAAGTAATCAACACACATTACTCAATTTAAACGCTCGAAAAAATGGCAGGAGAGAAGCAGCATTCATACCAAGCCTTAGGCAAATCATCAAAAATATTGTCAGACAGAGACGCAGCCATCAGCATTGGTCGGCCAAGTTGAACTAGAGTTTGATCATCACCGACAGTAGAAACAGTCAAAGTACTATCCGAAACTTTACTGTATGCAACCAGCAGATAAATCCCGTAGCCCACCATGGCAAGACCAGCAAGGGTCATTAAGAAGTTCAAAAGCTTCAAAAGGCACTCCCAGCAACCCCTACAAGCCATCCTCTCCTCTACCTATAATTTCACTTCAATCCCTCAACCAGAATTCAAAAGGGTGGCCAATGACCAATATGGTTTCAGTAACAACTAGAAAATATCACAGCAACAATAAGACCTGAAATTCAGGTTCAACTTTAAGAGAGATACTAAACTTATGCTTCATGCACTACCTTCATAAAAGGCTGAAAAACAATAACAATAACAATAACTTAGTCTTTTGATTTACACATGAATTTAACAGCAGGGGTTCCAAAATAACAATAACAAATGGTCAGGTCAATTGCGCTGGCATATTCGACTCCCTAACCTTATTTTCGTCGAGCTTCGTTCAAAAACCCAATAAAAATGTTCTGTTACTGAGAGAAATAACTCTTGTTAATGTTCAATACAAATTATCTGCCCCAAATTTTTTTTATTTTTTTATTTTTGAAAAAAATGATCATGTTGCTCAGAATGCAATTGACCAAAACTTCCAACAAAATCTAGCTCAGAAAATCAAGTTAGGATTCATTCAACCAAAAATAAATTGATTAACTGGAAAAAAAAAAAAAAAGGAAAAAAAAGAGTAAACGGCGAAGGTTTTAAGCATGGAAGAAAATCGAAAATGTCGACGAAAGGTGTGATGCATAGAAGCTGTAATTACTCACAGATAGAATCGATGCTTTCTACAGTTATCGATTTACGAATAGCGCAGTTGCCCTTTTTCTGAGCCTCTTGGAATCACCAATTCACACAAAACCAAAACAGAAACAGAAAGGAAAAAGAAATGGTGACTGAAATATGAACATCACCGAACAAAAAAGGAAAGACTGAATTAAATGACATTAATGCCCTTTTCAGTCAAAACGACGTTGTTTTTGCATATAATTTCTTTTTTGGTACAAGCGTATAGTTCTTATGCACATTTGAATTTGAAAGTCGCTCATAATTTCAATTGACAAAGCAAAGCATGGTCATTATTTTCAGCAATGCATTTTAGAGTTGGTCTATTAGAAATAGTCGAAGTAATTTTTTCTTTAATATATTTAAATAAGTAATAATTCGAAATTTAGTAGATTATAATTAAATCGCTGTTCAAATAAAGCAACAGTTTTGATTGTAATTTGCTTCATAAAAATTTAAAAATATAAATTTAAAATTATTAAATAAATTACTTATAACCAATAATCATTATCTTTAGATATTTTTCTTATTTTTAAAATATATATTTAACTTTAGAAATAAAAGAGAACGTGAAGTAATGATAAGATTGTCCTCACACTATCGTGGCTAGTTGGGGTCTCTCAACTTTCTTTTTAAACTCTTTTCTATAAGCTCTCGTCATCATTCACCATTCACCGTTATATAAAAACTGCCGTTGATGGTTTTTAAAATACAGCGATGAGCGTAATGATGGTGTCGCATTGACACAATACCAAACCCCTTATAATATTAGCTTATTAGTAGTAGCTGATTGAATTATCGCTTTTTTGCAACACAAACCTGTTGTAATTTTGTTTTTGATTTCATCGTTATGACACTTTCATGATTATTTTTATTATTATTATTTTTGGGAAGGATATATTTATCACCAAAAAAGTTTACTATCTTTACAACCAATTTAATCACCATTGATTTTTGTCAATCTAATGATTATAATTTATTGAAAATAATAATTAATTAATAAATGCGACCCAATAATTTTCAATAAACTATAACGGTTAAATTGACGAAAATCAACAATAATTAAATTGTTGTAAAGATGATAATTTTTTTGGATAATAAGTATATCTGCATTCTGCACCTATTATTATTGTATCTTTGACGTATATTCAAACTCTGATCGTTATCCATACTCCACAGTAAAACATTTATTTATGGAAAAAATATTTATCCTTTTAAATGACACAACTTATATTCTTTCACTTTCACAAAAAGGTAGGACCCGTACCTTTATTTTTTTTGTCAACTCTATCTCCTCAGTTATCTATATCTTTCTCTTTCTTAAAATAACATAACTTTACGTCCTTAAAATGATAGAAACTTGTTATCAAAAAAAAATGATAGAAACTTTTCCCTTTATTTATTTGTATCATATAAAATCATGTTGCGAAGAAGCATTGGGCAGCACGATTTAAGAAAACCCTGTGGGCGGTGGGTTTTGATATTTTCCCGGATATGACATATGGCTTTGTTCCAACCTTTTTTTTTTTTTTAAGTGATGTGGTTCATATTTGTTTGGAAGGTCAAACTTTGCACCGTACAATTAGAAATTATCTATGATATTACTGTTGTACTATTTACTTAATGTATTTATCTAATAAAAAATAAGAAATGACTGTCATGCTTATCTGGAAATGAGAGAAAAATATTTTTCTATCCAAGATTTCAAGAATCATTTGTTAAATGACAGATATATCTATTACATATATACAGAAGATGATCTCGTCCAATTGAACATCGTATAGCGTAGAAATCATAAAATTCGTTATTTGTATTACTTTTGCTTTTTTATCAATTCATAGAATGTTTGGGTATTGTATTCAAAATCAAGATCAATAAACGGCTGCTTTTTAAATATTTTATTACATAAATTGGAATTGGATCTTCTCATATTACATGGACAAAGTAAATAGGAAGAAGATTGAAAAAATATTGGATTACAAAATAAAAGATACAATCATAAATTATTATAGAAAAAGGGCTTCGTGTTGATATGAGATTAATTCTAAATGATAATTATCCGGCTCTAATCCTTAAACATTCTCTAATCGTTACTTTTTGGCATTAAGATTATCTTACATGATGCTATCAAATACCCATAAGATAATCCAATAGAAGTATAACACTGTTATCGGGTTATGCAACGGCGTAATCAATAAGTCAATCAAAATTTACCCCACTAAAACGTCGTCAACGGCCTAATCCATTCACATTGCTAGGGCCCATTGTCTCAGCCGAAAGGTCCAACCCAATTCAAACGGTTGTCTAGGCAAAATCACTTTTCATATTGTTGCAAGTGATAAATTTTTACAACAATCAATTACAATTATATTTTTAGAATGTAATCGAGAGATAAAAAAAATTTAATATTACAAGTATATAACTACATACTACTCCTTGTAATTGATTGCATACAAGAAAAAAATTTGCAACAACATAAAAAGTCGGGGACTCGATATGATAATAGCAAATCAAAGTAATAACGAACGCTAAAAGTTTTATTCAAGTGATTATGGTATGAGTTCGCTTTTTATGCAGTTACTATAGATAAGTTATCTGCAATAAGTCTAATATGACATCGTTTTGCACGGAAATTATGTTATTTTTGTAATTTTAATTTATTTTAAGATTATAATAATCTTTATATTTATAATTTTTTAAAATTTTAATACCAAAATGACGTCGTTTTGGGAATAAATGCAAGTAACTTATCTGCATTAATTGCAGAAATATTTTTCCTTATGTTATATTACAAATTATTTTTACAAAATATTTTTGGAGACACTGAGCATACACAGCCTTTTAAAAAGAGTAATGTCATGTGACAGCATAATGAATTTCCACATTAAGATCATGCATTAACCTTTGATCCATAAGGATCAAATAAGATAATATTATTTATGAGAATAATGTTTATCATGTTGTAAAAGATAATTTTATTTTTTACACATATATAAAAATATATAGGCTCTATATTTTTTTCTCTTTTTTCTTTTCATATGAGCTCCATATATTTTTTATGTATATATAGGACATAAAATTATTTCATATAACATGAGACACATTACTCTCATTATTTATATGCAATCTTCATTTTTTTTATTTAAGATAAAAAGTATATGAAGTGTTTTTTTAACTTTATTATTATAAAAAAATAATAATAATTGATATAAAAAATAACTCTTTGTTAGCCAATTTTTCATATTATAGAATTATCCCCTCGAAACATGTCAGAATTGTTTGACTTGGAAAATAAGTTATAAATAACAAATAGCTGGTGACATAGGGCCTAGGAGTGTAGGTAAGTAAGCACGTGAGAATATATGGTGGGAGATTGTACCACTTTTCAACCTACTCCGACTGAAGTATATGGTTTATTGAATACAGTAAATTTAAACTTTCATATTGTTAATTAATCAAATAATTATACATTTAAACCGGATTTTTTCAGCGAAGTAACCATCTAAATATGAAAAAAAATTTAATCCCCATATAATGTCGAAAAATCAGTGCTATATTCATTTAAATTATAACACAAACTAAACTACTTATATTAGTTTTTGATAGCACATAAGAGAGATGTCATAAAAATAATGATCTATATATGAGTTCGTTTTTTCTGTAGTTACTGCAGATAAGTTATCTGTAGTAAGTCTAATATGACATCGTTTTGGGACGAAAATCATGGTATTTTTATAATTTTAATTTATTTCAGGGTTATTATAGTCTTTATAATTATAATTTTTTAACATTTCAATCTCAAACGACGTCATTTTGAAAGTAAATATAAATAACTTATCTGCTTGCAGAAATATTTTATTTATATATCATAGTTTAAGTGTTTTTGATCAAAGAGGATCATGATTAATATAATATTTGACATTAGCAATATATATATATATATATATATATATATATGGAAAAATGTTTGTCATTTTAAATAACATAAAGTTATGTCATTTTAAGAGAGAGATATACAAAAAAAAATATTTTTTATTTAAATTTTAAATTAAAAAAAATCACTCACTTTCTCTCTCCCATGATTTCTATTTTCTGTGTCTATCTCTCTCTTAAAATGACATAATTTATGTCATTTAAAATGACAAATACTAATCCTATATATATATATATATATATATATATATAATATCTGATATCTGATAATCAGTTGTGTCCACGAAAGAGACAATCACAAATTATTATATGCAAGAAAGGCTAGAAGGCAAGAAAACATGGCGTATGTGCATATTAAGGGTGTGCATGACAACCTTCCCGGAATGAGTTTTTTTATTATTTTTATTCCCGGAAACAAAAATGGATGAGAATTGCATTTGATTAAACCGGTTTACTTTTTTGTTCCCGGGATAAATCGGATTTTTGTGTGTGTTGGGAAACAAAAAAAAAGAATCAAAAAATTTCTGCTTCTCTGTTCCAAGGCACAGAAACAGAATCAGTTTTGTCTCGCACTCTCACAACTTCATTCCCGCTCACACGCGCCCACAACGAACGATCACGGGCTTCAACCGTATCATCATCACCCATCCCTTTAGTTCTTCGTCTCCTTCTCTTGTGTTCCCAGTTGCACGTCTCTCTCTTCACACAAGAACAACATGTATGCTCCTCACCTCTTTGTCTTGAATGAATCTCGGGTTAATGGTAGGATTAAATGCTTGTTTTGTAATTTAACTTTTCTTCTTTTATGACCTGCGATCAGAATTTGTAGTTGCAAATTTTGGGATTTTTGAAATTGGGGTTAGGGCTCTTGAAAGACTTTTGCAAATTTTGAGATTTTTGAAATTGGGGATATAAACCTCATGATTTCACAACGTTGAAGGGGCTCCAACCTTGACGTTCAGTACCAAACCAATGCTATCAATTATCAACTTTCGAGGAGTTCTGGGTTTGAGAAAAATACTTATAAGACATTTTGTTGTTGATGTGCACATAATCTCTTGGATTGTAATGACACTATTTATGAAATGGGGGAGATATAAATGGTTTTTGAGGGATAGGTTATTATTTTTTCTAAGTGTTTAACCATTTATCTT